CCTGTCTTCTTGAGCTGAGTCAGTTCCTGGGTGGGGCAGTGGTCACAGATCAGATAGCCAGTTTCTTGATCTGGGTGGTGCCAGTAGATCCATCATACAGGTAGATCCATCAAGAGTAGAGTCTGCAAAACGTCTCAAGCACTGATCTTAGGAGCAGTTCAAGGAAGGTTGGAATCTTGTAGCCTCCAGTTGCATGACTCCTAAACCATAATTTCTAATCTTGTGGCTAATGTCGTAAGGAAGTTTGTTCTGGGAAAGGGCTACTATCGTCTTTAAACTATAAGTTCCTCCCAAATTTGTTCAGGAATGAACAAGCACAACTTGGAGGTTAGAGGCAAGATGGAGTTGTTTAAGTTGGACCTCTTTTACTGTCTCAGTCATAATTTTGCAAAGGCAGTTTCACTGGGGCAAGAGGAAGAGGCTGTCTATAACTGAAGATAATCACCCAAGGCAACCAACTGTCCCAAGGACTGAGGGCAGTCAATGTCTGTGAACTAGCACCAAACAGGCTGCCTAGGAAATGCTGATGTAGGCAAAGTGCACATCTGCCTCATGTAGATGCAGCCTTCTGTAATGAATGGTATTTAAAGAGAATATCCTCAATTTGTCATTGTTGGTTTCAATATATTGTAAATAGCTTAATCTAGATTTTAAAAAATTGAATATTTACTTGTGATAGATGTGAACTTACTCCATAACACAGATGTGCAATAAATATTGCCACAATCTTGGAGTAATGATGGAATGGTGAAAGGGAGATTACATACTCCAGAACAGTCAGGGAAGGATACTGGTCTTCAGCTCATTGTTGCCACTTCATGGTCATTTGAAAGCAGGTGGTCCCACCCCCTCCGTGCCAAGCTTGGGCAACTCTCCCAGTGCGCCCAACCCACAGCACCTAGATGTAGGCATTTTTTTTTAAGATAGCAGAAATCTGTTCTTTTGCAGAAGGTCAGAAGTCCAAAATCATCCTAAGCAAATTAATGCAAGAACAGAAAACTAAATAGCATATGTTCTCACTCATAAATGGGAGCTAAACATTGGGTAATTGTGGACAGAAAGATGGCAACACTTGACACTGAGGACTATTAGAAGGGGAAGCTGGAAGAAGGGCAAGGGTTGAAAAACTAACTACTGGGTACTATGCTCAGTACCTGGGCAATGGGATCATTTATACCCTAAACCTCAGCACCATGCAATGTACCCAGGCAACCAACCTGCACATGTATCCCTACATCTAAAATAAAAGTTGCAAAAGAAACAGATAAAATTAAAATTAAAAAAAAATCTCCTTCTCCTTTCTCTCATAAGGATACCAGGCATAGGATTTAGGATCCACTCCAAATCTAGAATGTTCCTGTCTCAAGGTCTTGAACTTACATCTACAAGGATCCTTATTCCAAGTAAGGTCATATTCTGATGTTCCCTGTAAATCTGATTTTAAGAAGGCCATTATTCAACCCACAAAACTAGGTCCTCCTAATTATCCAGTTCCATTCCCAGATTATGTGGTGGCTGCATTTTTTTTTTTTTTTTTTTTGAGACAGAGTCTTGCTCTGTTGCTCAGGCTGGAGTTCAGTGGTGTGATCTTGGCTCACTACAATCTCCACCTCCTGGGTTCAAGCAATTCTTCCATCTCAACCTCCCAAAGAGCTGAGATTACAGGCACCCACCACCATGCCTGGCTAATTTTTGTATTTTTTAGTAGAGGCAGGGTTTCACCATTTTGGCCAGGCTGGTATCGATAACTAGACATCTGGAATAACCAGATGCCTAGTTATTCACCCCTGACCTTGTGATCCACCCACCTTGGCCTCCCAAAGTGTTGGGATTACAGGTGTGAGCCACCACGCCCAGCCCCATGAAGGCATTTCTTCATCCACACATTGCAAGTGAGACACAGGTCTCTGCTAAAATCAAACCTTCCTCTCCAGTTCCTTTGGGGGCAGCTTAGTTTAATTCAGTGTTGGTTCTTTGTATATTTTTTCTTCAGGTCAATAATAAAAATGAAGCTAAAAACACCCTCTTACAGTGAGAAGAGCCCAAATATAGTTTTCCTGATAGGGCTGGAGCTTTTTATTCTTCTCAATCTCTTTAAGGAGTAGCTTAGAATTAAACAATACCACTGTATCAGTAAACTAGCTTGCTTCTTAAAAAATTCTCGGCTGGGCATGGTGGCTCATGCCTGTAATCCTAGTACTTTGGGAGGCCAAGGTGGGTGGATCACCTAAAATCAGAAGTTTGAGACCAGCCTGGCCAACATGGTGAAACCCTGTCTCTACTGAAAATAAAAAAATTAGCTGGGTGTGGTGGTGTACGCCTGTAATCCCAGCTACTTGGGAGGCTGAGGCAGGAGAATTGCTTGAACCTGTGAGGCAGAGGTTGCAGTGAGCCAAGATCACGCCACTGCACTCCTGCCTGGGTGACAAGGTGAGAAGCCAACTCAAAAAAAAAAGAAAAAACAAGAAAAAGTCAAGGTCTCTGCTTCAAGAACACATACCTATGGCTGAAATTAAGAAATTATATGGCGAAATATTATTTTGAATTAAAGACTTTTTTAGTTATACAAATTCTCTCTTTATGTAAAAGTATAGCATACTCTAATTTTGGACAGACTGTTGCAAGTAATGTGTACAATAATAAAGACTTTCCATATGCAAATGAGAAATAAACACTTTAAGCAAAATGAAATAGGTCTAGGAGGATAGGGAAGAGTTAGAGCTATGTGCCATTCAAATGTCGGTGTGAGTTGGCCTAAGTCTAAAACCAGAGGTGGGCTGCAAGCAAACATAGAATCTAATACCCAGGAACTAAACTGGGTTAGAACCAGGAAGAAGAGCTCACAGAAGGGTGAATTTAGAAGGAAGAGTAGGAAACCAGACTGGATAAAAATCCAGGGAGTGTTTGAGAATCTAGGTCATAAGAGGTCATTGAGCAGCTTCTCTCACCATTGAGACTTGACCTAAGCCAATGTGTCCATTCAGGGATTGTCCATTTCTTCTAGTAAAAATATTTTCAGAGATTAGAGTTAGGAAGAAGTCATCCTTCCTCTTCTACAACATTGTTACTATGATTTATTCTAATGAAAACTAGTCTCAGACCTAAATTTTCTACACACACCAGCATGTATTAACAGATAGGCCAAAAGAAAGCAGCTTTTATTTTATTATGCAGCAATTACAGACTACTATTGTTATTATTTAATTTCCCTCTTCAGTACAAACACTGAGTTCCTATAAACTCAGTGAAGTCCACAGCCCTGTCTTGGCACTCTAACAAACACCTTGCATGGAAGATTCACTTGGAAGACAAAGCAACTGTGTTCTCACTAGAAGACAAGCTAAACTTCCAATCACTTCAAGTGAAAGAACCTGTATTAGGAAGGGTTACATGAGCATAAACAAATTCTAGACCTTGGTGCTACTTAAAAGGCTGCTAGTCTGGACGTAGTGGGTCACGCCTGTAATCCCAGCACTTTGGGAGGCCAAAATGGGTGGATCACTTGAGGTCATGAGATCCAGACCAGCCTGGCCAACACAGTGAAACCCCATCTCTACTAAAAATACAAAAATTAGCTGGATGTGGTGGCATGTGCCTATAGTCCCAGCTACTCAGGAGGCTGAAGCACAAGAATTGCTTGAACCCAGGAGGTAGAGGTTGCAGTGAGCCGAGATCATGCCACTGGACTCCAGCCTGGGTGACAGAGCAAGACTCCATCTCAAAAAAAGAAAAAAAAAAGGCTACTAGGCATCTGGCAATATAACTTGAATACTGCTCATTTCACTATGAAAAAATGCAACATTCCTTATGGTGCATGTTGAGAAAGTGAGATATCTAAAGTTCTACACCAGCCTTCTTTGGAGGGTGGCCAACTGACTAAGGTCCTTAGATGTCTAGTTATTCACCCCTTCCTCAGATGTAGACTCCTGATCTGAGTGTTAAAAATGTTAAATAATTGTCCCTAAGGCGTGGATTAATTTACACACATACACCTCAAAATAGCATTTTTACTAGCGAATTCCAGACAAAAATCTCAGACACCTTTAGCTAATAATGTTGGAACCTAATTTTATACCTGAAAGTATTTTTTTTCCTCCTAGGTGTGGGAGTAAGATTGATTTTGAAAACAGTTACCATTACTCAGAAATAGATAAAATGTAATATGCCTTACTATTAGTCAAGGAGCTGAAATCCTACTCAAAGTAATTTAAGCAAAGAGCAACATTTAGTGGTTCATGTTCCTGGGGAGAATAGGGAAGGCCCTGATGGTAGCTGTTCTGAAGCCAGGGACTCAAGGATATTGAAAGGTCTTCTCATTCTCTTTGTCTTTCTCTGTTCTGCTTTGTGTGTATATTCTCACAGGTCTGTTTCCCTGGGTTTTGGGCTCATTCCCTTCTGTTTCTGCTAGGTCTTTTCATGAGGCATGCAAGCCCCTCTGGCTTCACTTCTTCTAGCTCTGCGAGCCCAGAGCCAAAGGGCCCCTCAAATATCTGCTAGGTAAGGACTTGGATTTTCTCAACTTGTGTCACCTTCCCTAATAATAATATATGGATAATTCCTCTGGTCAGGAAGTTGAGGTTTGGTCTAAATCTGGGTTGCTGGCTTTATGTTTGGTGGGTTGGGGAGGACTGTTATGAGAAGAAGGGATAAGGTGCTTGCTTTGGAAGCATATATACTAAAATTGGAACAGGCTGGGTGTGGTGGCTCATGCCTGTAATCCCAGCACTTTGGGAGGTTGAAGTGGGTGGATCACCTGAGGGTCAGGAGTTCAAGACCAGCCTGGACAACATGGTGAAAACTAAATTTTTCTACTAAATCTATTTTTAGTAGAAATGCTGTCTCTACTGAAAATACAAAACTTAGCTGGGCGTGGTGGCACGTGCCTGTGATCACAGCTACTCGGGAGACTGAGACTGAGAATTGCTTGAACCTGGGAGGCAGAGGTTGCAGTGAGATGCGATTGCACCACTGCACTCCAGCCTGGGTGACAAAGTGAGACCTTGTCTCAAAATAATAATAATAAAATAGGAACAATGCAGAGAAGATTAGCAAGGCCCTTGCACGAGGATGTCATGAAAATTTACATACAAAGCATTCCATATATTTTATCTGAAGTGTTCTGATCATGTACACACACAAAAACATAACTATGTCAGATGATGGTTCATTACTTAATTGTGGTGATTATTCCACAATGCACACATGTATCAAAACATCGAGTTGTACACCTTAAATATATACAATTCTAACTTGTCAATTATACCTCAATAAAGCAGCAGCAGAAGGGGTGTTACCAAACTGCCTAAAACTGTAGTTGCCACAGCCCCCTCTGCCCTTCCTTTTCTCTCTTTCCTGCCTTTCTATACTTGGAATCTTTAGCTTATGTGCGTTAAATTGGATATTATGAAAAACAAGAAATATTGAAGCTTTCTATGCATTAAGATTTGGTAGTATACAACTTGGATCCACTTTATATTTTTTGGTAAATGGAACCGTGTAGAATAGCTGGCATAAGAATTTTCTGGATTTTTTTTCTCAAGTGATACTACTAAAATGGAAACCTGAAGATTTTTATAAGCAAATCCAGGCTAACATTGATTCAAAAAAAGCCACCAATATGCTGTAGCAGTAGAAATGCTGTCTCCATCTCAACCAAATTCAGTTTGCAACCAAACTGAATTTCCTTAATTATAATCGAGTGAATTTGGGACTAGGAAAAACAGCTTGTTTAATCATCACCTATAGGTAAGAAGCTCAGAGATTTTCCGGGTGAATGATGCCCCTGATAAATATATCTCTGTCTGCGGACAGTAAAATGACTCAACAAATGCCATATGTAGTGTTTAGCTCTCGAGGAGACCTGTGGCCTAGTTGGAACACATCCTGTATGCTGTGCCTACTGGAGGGTAGCATGAACAGATTGCTGGGAATAGCTCACTCCACATAGTGTCTGTCAGACGTAAAGTGCCAGGTCAAGTAGTGACCACATGCTATGTGGACACCGTGATTTTTCCACTTCCCTCCGTTACTAAAAATCTTTGAAGAGGCTGGACGCAGTGGCTCATGCCTGTAATCCCAGCAGTTTGGGAGGCTGAGGTGGACGGATCACTTGAGATCAGGAATTTGAGACTAGCCTGGCCAACATGGTAAAACCTTGTCTCTCCTAAAAATACAAAATTAGCTAGGCGTGGTGTCAGGTGCCTCTAATCCCAGCTACTTAGGAGGCTGAGGCAGAAGAATCGCTTTGAACCCAGCGGGTGGAGGTGGCAGGGAGCTGAGATGGCGCCACTTCACTACAGCCTAGGCGACTGGAACAGTGTGCTATAAAGTCAAAATTCTACTATGGCCTAGCTGAGCACTAAGAATTGCACTTAGAGAACTGAAAGTATATACTGTTGAGTGTGTGTGAGTGATATACTAGGACCTTGCGACTCAAAGTATGGTCTGGGACCAGCAGAATCAGTATCACCTGGGAGCTTGTTAAAAATGCAAGTTATCTGGCCCCACCTCAGACCCACTGAATCAGAAATTCTGGGAGCTCGGCCAGAAATCTGTGTCCTACAAGCCCTCCAGGTGCTCCCAGTTTATGCTCCCAGTTTGAGAGGCACCATTCTAATTAGTTACAAGCACTCTCTTGATGGCTTGTAGAAATGCCCGAGCAAGGGACTTGAGTGTGTAGGAGTACATGATGTACAGGTTTCTCTTACAGCAATAAACCAACTTAGTAGACCACCACTGTTGCAATAACTTCTTCACCCAAATGTCAAACCGAGATGTTAGCTGGGTTGAAACAGCCTCATTTTCCTTATCACTTTTTTTTTTTTTTTTTTGAGACAGGGTCTCACTGTCACCCAGGCTGGAGTGCAGTGGTGTGATCTCAACTCACTGCAGCCTCAACTTGCAAGCCTCAAGGGATCCTCCTGCCTCAGTCCCTCAAGTAGATGAGACTGCAGGAGTGCACCACCATGCCTGGCTAATTTTTTGTTTTTGTGGAGACAGGGTTTGGCCATGTTGCCCAGACTGGTCAAACTCCAAGCCTCAAGCAATCCTTCTGCCTCAGCCTCTCAAATTGCTGGGATTACAGGTGTGAGCCACCATGCCCAGCTCTTTATTATTTATATATTAATTAAAGACTAAGTTGTAGGAGGGTAGTTTTTGAACCAGTTATCTATTAGCACCAATAAATATTTATTAAATGTATGTTATTATCAATATTTTGTTCTAGGAGCAACAAAATCTAGACAAAGTGACGTAAAAGATGATTGTTGTTTAGCACGTGGTTAAGGAGAAAATATAAACTTGAAAAATTAAGTGGCAATATCAGATAATAACACAAAACCCATTCCTAGGCATTATGTGACTAATTATAAAATAAGAAGAAAATTCACTGAAAAGGAAGAGATTCCTGGATTGAATAGGTCTGCAAAGACATCACTCAAGGTTTCTTCACTGGGCATTTGCTTAGGAATTACCTGCTCCAGGAAGGGCCCTGGGGGTGTGCTGGAGAGAATGTGGAACGTGAACTAGGCTTCTGGAAAAGGCAATTCAAATGGCAGGAACGTTAACGTTAAAGGTATCATATGAAAAATTTACACAGCAATTCTGGTTGCTCCATCCTTGCATATCTCCAAGGAAACCTGGACCTATGATTGTCCATTGGCAAACCCAGGATATTTGGCCCTTGGGAGGTTCTTTATGCTAACATTGATGATTTTGTTGTAAGCACCTAGAGCAATGAACCACATCTTACTAGCTTGTCAGGATTGCTTTGCACCAACACCAAGACTGAGGATGCATGCCAGGTTTCATTATCCGGGTCCTGACTTTCAGTTGCCATGGATGGTCATGTAGCAGAATGGACCTATGTGACCAGACTTCCATAAAAGCCTTGGGCTCTGAGACTTGCATTGGGTAGAGAGATTCTGCTGGAAGGAAAGCATGTCTTGTGTGGCTCTGGTTGGAAAAAACTTGAAAACCTGTATTTGATCTCCTGGATTTTATCCAATGCCTATCTTCTTTCTGCAACTTCTGCTGTGTACTTTTTGCTGTAATAAGCCTTACCCATGAATATAAACTGATATTGAGCCTTTTGAGTCTTTCTAAAAAATCACCAAACTAGGGGTGGTTATGAAACCCCTGAAATATGGCCTCTGACAAGATGCAAAATACATATGAATTTTTGAGTAGAAACAATAAATATTAAAATCTGATGGGAAAAGCAATTGTTGATTGCTGAATCTTGATAAAGAATATGTAGGTATTCATTGTAGTAGTGTTATTTTTTTTTGAGACATGGATTTGTTGCAGTTACCCAGGCTGGAGTGCAGTGACACAATGATGGCTCACTGCAGCCTCAACCTTCTGGGCTCAAGCAGTCCTCCAACTTCAGCCTCCCAAGTACCTGGGACTATAGGTGTATGCTCCATACCCAGCTAATTTTTATATTTTTTCATACAGACAGTCTCCTTATGTTGTCCAGGCTGGTCTTAAACACCTGAGCTCAAGTGATCTTCCTGCCTCAGCCTCCCAAAGTTCTGGGATTACAGTTGTGAACCACTGAACCTTGCCTCATTGTCCTATTCTTCAAAGTTTCCTACAAGTTTAAAATTTTTCAAAATATAAATTTATGGAAAAATGAGTAGTATTAGGCAAAGAATATTCAAGAAATGTTAGCAGTTGCAAAGTCAGTTATCATATGTGTGCATGGAGATATATGTGTATAGAATTATAGAATAATAGTTTTACATTTAACTGTTAAGTCTGTCTATCTTTTCCTGTGTTTGCTTGGATGTGTGTTTTTCATTCTTTTTTTGACCATGTACTCCCACCTCAGGCAGATGAGGGGCCCTGAGTCCCTGGGCTGGAAGTGGGCCTGAGGCTGTGGTGAATGGAGCCAAGAGAATAATTACTGGGTCAGTTTCCTATGGAGTTTCTGGGTCAGTAGTGCGAAGACCAATAGTCCAGGGTCAGGATGCCAAATTCAGACAAGGCAATAAAGAGAGAAAGCTCTAATTCAACGTTGATCGTTCTGACAGAGAAGGCAATGCAAAGAGAGTTCAAACAGTCAGACAAACCAGGAATGATTCCTGAGAAAAAAATGCACACAACGGCAATTTCCTTTTTTAACTAGATCCTGCCACAGCCAAAGTGACATATCCTAAAGCGAGTGATGCAGCTGGGGAGTGGGCCATTGTATTCTCAGAGTTCTCTCTCAGCCTGAGATTGACTAATACTCACTTATATTTTCTTCTTTTTTATTATTTTAGATTTTTACATTTAATTCTTTTAATGCACTTTCTGCTTGTGTATTACATTTAATTCTTTAATATCTAGTTAGAAAACTGCATTTATATATGGGTAAGATTGGTTTATACTGTGCTAGCTTCCTCAGTTTTATTAATAAGATATGTATAATGGTCAAGAACATGAATTCTAGGCTGGCTTCAGTGGCTCATGCCTGTAATCCCAGCACTTGGGTAGGCCAAGGCAGGCAGATCACCTAAGTCAGAAGTTCAAGACCAGCCTGGCCAACATGGTGAAACCCCATCTCCGCTAAAAATACAAAAATTAGCTGGGCATGGTGGTGTATGCCTGTAATCCCAGCTACTTTGGAGAATGAAGCAGGAGAATCACTTGAACCCAGGAGGCAGAGGTTGCAGTGAGCCAATATTACACCACTGCACTCCAGCCTGGGCGACAAAGTGAGACCTTGTCTCCGAAAAATGATAATAATAATAATTATTATTAATTAATTAAATAAAATAGGAACAATGCAGAGAAGATTAGCCAGGCCCTTGCACAAGGATGTCATGAAAATGTGCAAAGTATTTCATATATTTCATCAGAAGTGTTTTCATCATGTATAGACACAAAAACATAACAATGTCAGGTGATGGTTCATTAGCTTAATTGTGATGATTATTTCACAATGCCCACATGTATCAAAACATCCAGTTGTAAACCTTAAATATATACAATTCTAATTTGTCAGTTGTACCTCAATAAAGCAGCATCAGTAGGGGTGTTACCAAACTGCCTAAAACTGTAGTTGCCACAGCCCCCTCTGCCCTTCCTTTTCTCTCTTTCCTGCCTTTCTATACTTGGAA